AAGGGTGTTGGGGGGTTTCTCTCTTGAGTGTGAGAATTCAGGAGTTGTAATACATGCCCTGTTCCAGAGAGGTTGGGTTTAGGAATGAAGCCGCCTTTGCTGGATAGGCCAGTGCTTCCCTCACAAAAAGCATGAGGTGAAGAGACAGGTCCAGGACTAAGCAGAGTGATTTAGAGAGTGTCTGATCAGCAAGTGTGTGTGTTTCTTGGGGAGGGGTGGGGGAATACTCTGAAAGGGACAGGAAGAGGCTTCACAAAGGCAATTTGAAATTTAGTGCTGACCTTGAAGCATTGATTTTAATTGTTATTGCTTCCTGTGTAACTGTGAGCAAATTACTCATAGCCTCTTTTGTCTGCATTTCTCACCTACATAATGGGAGTGATAGCCCTAACTTGTTGGCTGTTTTACATACATAGTATGTAATAACCCCGCAAGAAGGCTATCATGTCGGTCCAGCAGAACCGCAGTCTTTTTTGAAGGTGGGATTGCTTACAGTTTTGCTTGTAACTTTTCTGTGCTTCTGCTCAAAGGCGATTTTTGTGTTCTTTATTTCTGAGCAAGGTAGTAATTGACGGTTTTACCATCGTCTAAAATATCGCCCTGTAACTATGTTGGATTGTAGCCTTTACTGGGGCCAGGGAACTTCTGCTTCCTTGTATGTTTTTTTGAAACCAGAAAAACTAAACTGTGCTTTAAACAGTCAGATTTTTGAGACGTTCCAAAGAAAGAAGGAAAAGGTGTGTGATTCAAGCACAGTACGTATAACAGTATTAAGCCTTTTACCTGCTAATTGTAGTATTCTATTTTAGAACTTGTTTAAACTAAGTTTAAAATATATGTTGAGACCAAAAGGAAAGCATGTGTTTGATGTGCTTGAAAGGAAGACATTTACATGACAAATGTAGCTCAGCTTTCTGGTATCAAGCACTTAACAACCTATTGCTCATTTAAATGAGAAAGGAAAATTCTTTAGTTGAGAGTCTATTTTCTATTACTTTGGCCTAACAACTTACCTTTGTTTTTAAAAGTGGGAAGGTTTCATCAGTTTTCAGGTGGGTGAGAGTAAAGCGAAAATTAGAACAGCTGATGTTGTGGTGATGTGTTATATTTCAGCCAAATTGCATTAATGCATAACATATGAGCTTCGAACTCCTTTTTTGATTGGAAATTTTCAAAATGAATACTGCTTTGATTTGGAAATTGCAATATTTACACAGGAGGGCTAGTAGAGTAATTTCTCAGGAATATACTACAGCCTTGTTATAGAGGCCCTAAAGATTTTACTGAAGCCAAATGGAGTACACTATCTTCCTTGGCTCTATGTGAAAATGAGTGAGATAAAGCATAAGTCATTGTTATGACTTATGTTAAGAGGAAGTAATAGGGTTTGTTTTCACTGTTTGAAAAGCAAGAATTTTGTCGATTAGATGAGGAGGAAAGCAATTATGGCAAAAGTGTCTTAAAAAAAATTCTATATAACACAAAATTATGTATGCACACACAAAATTTTGTGTACGTTAAAGATACATGAAGCACCACTGATTGTGTCTGATAGAACTGTAACTTTTATGTAATGACTTAATCAGGACACCTTCAGAAGGCATTTTCAGCATCTGCTATGAAAGGATGAACAGCTTTGATAGCATCTGTTAATTCTGTTTTATCTTTTCTTTAAACCGTGCTCATTATACTTTTAGTCTTTCTTCTGTAGGACTGTTTATTCCAGATGAGCTAATGATGGGCTGATTTTGTGATCAGAGAAAAGCAGATGGGTAATTTCAGAGCAACCTATCGAAGTACTGGCGAATATAATATGGCACCAAAATCTTGTGGCTGACACAGTGTTTCTTGTCACCCATATGTTTACTGAAAATCTTTAAGCTAAATAAGGTAATCAGAGTGTTTATTATAGGTTTAGGTGTTTAAAAAAAAAAAAAACAAAACACAAGCAGGTGCGTGTAGAGGCAGGTACGCGCAGAATACTTGAAATAAAAATCTAAGTTTGTCACTCAGTTTTGCATATTCAAATAAGCTGTTCACCACCACCACCTTATATGTTGATACATACTATAAAACATGCAGAGGTAGATAGATAAGTGGTCTCAATTTAATTATCTTTCTGAAATCCTGAAAATGTTAATTGATGTACTTTACATAGGCTAGATTTTGAAATCTACAGTTGCAGCCTTAATTCTTAAAAAAGTATCTATATAGATTTCTAATCTTCTGTTTACATGAACATAACAGATCTTATGGTATGTGCATAATTTGCGTATTTGCGTATTCCTCGGCCTAGTAAAATCTTAATTCATCTAAAGGAAAAAGTCCATAACTTATTTGCCAAACCAATGATTGTCTGTAAAGTCAGAGGACTGAACGCTATCTCTTTGAACAAAATCTTGCTTCATAAAAAAATTTTAGCTCGATAGATCCTACCCTCATCTGTTTATCTGCTACCTTCTTTTTCTTTTTGCTCTTTTGTGCCATTCTGTTTTTGTGTAAAAGAAAACAGCTTAGACAAATTTAATTCCTACAAAAGCTGAAAAGCCACCCAGCTTACCTTCACACTAAAGGAGGTCTGAAAGTGAGGTGATGGGGGAAAGTTTCTAGCCAAAAGGATGCCTTTGTTTGAAACATGCAGGAGAGAAAACAGAGTACTATGAAACTTGTATTGAAAATGTTTGTGTGTGTTAAAATCTGGTCAAATGAATCTCTTAACCACATCTATTGACTCTGCTTTGACTGACTTAAAATAAAGCCATTCCTCTGTCTAGACGGATGGTGGCTACCTTTACTGATCTGGACGACAATCTTGGGAAACAGGAAGCAGGGGGAGACTAGTCCCATAGTCAAGAATGTGGATAAACTGCTGTTTATAAAAGGATTCAATCTACTAAAAAATTCCAAGCAATATTTGGGAAACATTAATAAAAACTTGTATTATAATTAATTCCATAGATACTAAATATAGATTCCAGACTAAGGACTTAAAATTTGTGGAAACACAGGTTTGGATTGCTCAGTTACCGAGATACTGATATTTTCTAGAATGAACAGTATCTTTGATCAGTACTTTGGAACCAGTAATTACAGAGCAAGGTATGCAGAATCCCAGAGCTCTTGCGTTCTTTTTCTTATTCTCCCTCTGCCAGAAGACTAGAGCCTTCTAAGGACTGAGATGGACCTTTGTACAATGAAAGTTTTATCATCTGAAGACATCTGCTCATATAAAAATGCATATCAAAAGAATGCTGTAGCCAGATTTCCCAGTTTTTTAAACTACTGTGTGTATTAACCTTCTACATGCTTAAAGGGTCAGCCTCACCAGAATAAATTTTCAAAGGCATTTGAGATTTCTGAATTATTTCATTAAGTTTGGATTTGAGAGTTGCTCTACCTGTCAGCCTAGCCCAGTAAGCCTGAGAGTACATATGCGCTAGTCCTATTCTGAGCAAAAAAAGGTCTGATTTTTGGTTTATTCAGTGAGTTTTCTAAAGTTGCAGTTATTAAGATTATAGAAGAGAAAAGAATGCTTTGGAAGAGTGATCCACTCAAGGTAAACGCTAAAAGTGAAATGGAGAACTTTGTACCCTGCTTACCATGTAAGGCAAATAATTTTCTGAAAGCCAGAAGACTCATAAAAAATTATATCTACGTAATACCACTACTAAATACCAAATTTCCTTATCAGTTTTTCTGTTCTTGGGAATGACAGTGTCTTTTAATCCAGGTTATATCTATGGAAGACTAAACTGTGCAACTAAGTCGATACCAATACTATTGTGTAAAGGCAGAATGTAAGCCAGTGCTGCGTGATTACTTTTGAGTATTATAAAATTAAGTTTAAAAAAAAACAAGCAAACCTATCAGCAATTGACTTGATTCTACAACACAGTGATGTGCATCTCTGCTATTTAAAAAAAAAAAAAAAAAAAGGAGGATGTGCAAGTATGAAAACACTGAAAAATTGTGCCCTAAATGAAAGGGGAGCAGAGGTGGTAAATAAGCCTCCCTTCCCTCACTGTCGCTTTAGAGGCAGGTCCCTAGAAGTTTGCTACCATACGTGAACAAAATGCAGTAAAACATACTGCATTATATGATAGGTTGCAGAATATGATAGAATTATAGCAGCGTCATTAGAATTCCTCTGTAATAACAGATATGAATTGGAATCATTTTTTCATTGATGTGAATATTTTAATATATCACTCTTCACTTATTTATTCCTTTCAGTATGCCTGTAATAGAAATTTCAAGTGAAAATGAATTTATTGTGGAAATTAGAGAGGAAATAGGAAATTTTATGTATTTATATATTCAAGTTCAAGAGGTAAAGGCTATATGATTAGCTGTAAGCATAAAATATGATTTTAAGGAGCTGTTCTCCACGTGGATGGAATTCTTCAAATACTGGTCTGCCTAAGTAATCCTTACTTTTCCAAGAGAAACCACACCAATGTCACCACAATACACATTGTAGCAAAACCATCAGCATTTACTTCTGGCAGTAATGTAGTACGTTTAGAGAATATTGCCCCGTGATGAAGGGATTCTTTTGAAAATTGAGGTGGATTGCTGTTATAGTATGAGCTCATGCAGTCTTTTAATATCTTGGCAATATCCATTCCCATCCCTAAAAGGAGGCCAATGAATTATCTGCTAATTGCCACAGCCTTTATAAATACCTTTTGAGGTCTGTGGATAAAGACTGCTGTTTATATTTGGGTCTGGAACTTGTAATTGTGTTAAATTTTACTTGATTTTCTCGCAACAGTTGAACAGTTGCTTGCATGTTTCAGATTACCCCAGTAGTTACAGCTGAACATGCATAACAAGGTGCTTCCAAGATTTTTTCCCTGTTAGCAAAAGATTAATGCAAAAAGGTATGAGACTGAGATGTGTTTTAATATATTCCCGTAAGTTCATTGTCTTTTACGTGATACTGCTTACCACACTGGCAACCAAGTTCCATATTTATTTCCTTTTTTGTTCTCTTTTAGGTCCCAAATCTGATCCCAGTTCTGATATTTAAATTGGGAAGACCTCTGGAGCCTGCATTGTACAGGGATATATTGTACACGCTGCCCACACTGGGTGTACACAAGGTCAGAATAAAAAACTGTTAGTAAAACAAAAGCCATCAGTGACATCACTTACTTACAATCAATGAGTGATTTAGACTGAAAAACCTTCAGCATAACTTTATAGTATTTATAATGGGATATGACATTTATTTTAAAGGACAAAAGGTACATTGTGCTTAGCTGTTTGTACTATTTTATTATTTTGTTTATATATCCTAGGAAAATGCCCTTTAGATCATCATACAGTAAAATTTGTAGGAAAATGACTTGGAGCTTCTTTCTGATGTTGTGAAGGGCTTAATTACCTGTTTGTGATACTTGGGCCAAATAAAGATTTATAGCCCTCTCCTTGTTCTTGAATTTAAAAAAAATTTTTTTAAACTTCTTTCAGGTCTGTGTAGCTCAGATTCTACGCGTGATACAGATGCTGGGGAGTACACCAAAGCTTAGAGCTATTACTCTGCGTCTGATGACATCCCTATGGGAAAGGCAGGTTAGAAAAATGCTGTTCTCTCACTATGAGACTGAATAGTTTAAAGACTTTTTCATCTAACCAGAGAAAGTGTTTCATTTTGGAGTATTTACATTAGTATCTCATTATCAGCAGTACAAAGCAAATGGTGGAACTAAGGCCTTTATTGATTCTGTATTAGTGAAAACTTTAAACAGTATATCTTTCACCAAACGTAATTTTCATTTCATGAGGTCTAGGAGTAGAACTATGAAATTTGTTTTTGAAGGATAGCTTTCTGTTTTGCGTGATGTGCAGTACAAACCAGACCTATGAGGTGTTTCCATTAAGTTACATGGCAATAGTTTATTTCTTTGTTTATGAAATAGCAACAGAAATTTGATTTGTAAAAGCCAGTTGAAACTCAGTGCAGCATTAGTCTCCAATGATGAAGAGAAGTAAAATATGGTATATAATATAAGTGGTCATTTAGAAATGACGTAAAACCACTACTGAAATAAAATCCTGTCATGAACTTTGTGAAGTGTGACGATAATCTAAAATTAAATCTCTTCCAGGATCGGATTTACCCAGAATTGCAGAAGTTCATGGCAGTATCTGATATGCGCTCTTTGTCTCTGGACAAAGATGCTCAGTGGGAAAAGCTGATTGCTAAAGCTGCCTGTATAAGAGATATATGTAGGCAGAGGTAAGCACAAGAGTTTATCCGTCTGTTATCTTTGTAGAGGAAAACAATGGGTTGGTTCGTTTGGGCTTTTTTTTTTTTTCACAACTACATGCTTATTTTTAGCTAATCTGCTTTAATTGTGGGTAATGTGTTTCTGGATGTCTCAGATAACTCCTGCAGTCACTGTCTATCTCAGCAGCTAATAGGATTTATGTTTTATTTTAACTAATAGAAAGCACATGTAAGTGATGTTAAAGTTAAAATGAGCAGAAAACTGTTGTCTTCCCCCTGAAAGAAAAAACAAATACCCCACACTGCTTCAGAACAGAAACTTAAAGCATACCAAATTTTAAAAAATGAGTGGAAGAAGCCACTAATGATCTGTCTGTCTATCGACCTATTCAAATGAAGTCTAGGTGCTCTTCTGAAATGTGTGTTTTGTTAAATGCAGATTATTGGTCTTAATTCAGATATAATACAGGCCACAGAACCTAGTGTGAATGATATATTGATTCTTTCCACTTCTAGCAGACCATGAATATCAGTATTTAATGTTTATCTAGTTTTCATAAATATTGTTTTTAAACGTGTTACTAATTTTTTTTTCTGGTCTCCGGTGTGCAGTACTACCTTTTCTGTTGCTTCTGTTCTTTGGGTTCCATTTTCTAATTTGCTTTTTTGAAGGCCAGTGTTATGAATTTTCCCAGCTTTCTATTTGTATCTTTTAGTCATCAGTTCTCAAAAAAAGCAATCCTTAAAGAACATATCCTTTCCTTTCTCTCCCTCACCTTCTTTAATTTTGCCAAACAGCATTTTTCAAGAACTCTTAAAAATGAGAAAATCAGGAGAGAAATTTCAGTGTAACTGTGCTATTTGTTGCCAAATAAGTACTGTAATTGGAGCTCTGAAATAGAAGTGCAAACTGTTCTGCGTGTATTTAGAAATGATTTAGAAGTGAAAGCAAATATAGAAAGCCAGAATGTTCTGCACATACAACTCACCTAACCAGATGTTATTTCCCTGTGGTTCTTAACAGAATCCACAAGAGGAACTGCTGAATCTTTCTCTTTTTTTTTTTTTTTTTTCTTGAGGGACCGAATAGATGCTAAAAGACTGGAAAACAAACCAAGCAAAAGGGTGTCCCGTGCAGTCATTGAAGACAAGGCAAAAGACATTTCTTCAGTGAAAATCTGTTTGGAAAAAACTTACGAGGGCCACCCTGGATCGGGCAAAAATCGCGGTTATCTTACCTCCAACAATAGCCTATACTGGATGCCCGTAGAATACTTTAATAAAAACAAACAATAACATCTTTTATTTAATAGCATGCAGAGGGTTTTCTTTCTCGGTCACTTCTTGAATGCTTTAACTTCTTAGTAACCTTGACGTTATTTGCCAAAGACTTTCATGGGTTAACGACTTGCTGATCTTTTATCAAACTTGGCACCTGCTGATTTACTTCTCTGTGCCACTCAAACTTTAGAACTGTCTATCATATCCTCCCTTGTGTCTCAGCCCCTCCTCCCAGTTCCCAGTTTTAGTCTGTCAGAGTTGTCCCTTGTTCGGAAGCAATATTCATTGAACTCTATATAGAGTAGAATTTCTATGTAAATGTGTATATTGCTCTATAGCTTCACATACTTTGTTACTTTGTTTCGCTTTTAGGCCATATCAGCATGGAGCAGATATGTTGGCTGCAATTTCCCAGGTATTAAATGAATGCACAAAACCTGATCAAGCTTCACCTGCAGCCATAGTATTGCAAGGTCTTCAGGCCCTTTGTGAGGCTGAGGTAAGATTAAATTGCCCTGACCTCGTGGATCATGGTTTTTCTTCTAGCTGACCTGAGTGCTTTGGACTATCATAAAATGTTTTTTCTTCGGATAAATTTAATTCCTTTCTTCATGCATTCATTAATTGTCCCTGAGAAATCATACTGTGGTCTCTCATTGCAACAGCTCAGCCTTTCAGGGCAGGGCTTGGAATTTTAAATCAACATTACAACTTGTGTCAAAAACATCCTTTCACAAATCATATATTCAGATTTGAAAAAAGCAGCTATCTGGTACATAGTTCTGATTAGATCAAAAGTGTGTAAGTCATCGTATTTCTGGTACCTTACCACTTGCTTGCCTTGCTGAGTGTCTCATTCACATATTACACTTGTAATGGGGAGACTCCCATTTTAGTCTAATGTATTCATTAATCACGTAGGCAGTCAGGCACTGAAACACGTTGCCCAGAAAGGTTGTGCTGTCTCCATTCATGGAGATGTTCAAGGTCCAACTGGATAAAGCCCTGAGCAACCTAATGTGACCTCAGAACGACCCTGCTTTGAGCAGGAGATTGGACTAGAAACCTCCTGAAGTCCCTTCTAACCTGAACTGTCTCTTGATCCTACAATATGCTTGAGTTAGGAGCCATGGCTCCTTGTTTTTGTAGTAACATGCCCGAGGTGGTGAATCAGGGACAGATGTGCTGTGAATCACCCTCTAGACACACCATGGATTAAACAGGCCATCTGAGTTAGTGGACTAATGATAGACTGCAGAAATATTTGCTTACCCCTGTTCTACCAAACAGTCATTTCAAGTTTTTCCACTTCCTCACTCTTAGCATGCTGTTGACCACAATGGGGCTGATCCAATAAAAGGCTTCAGTCATTACCACATTATACATGTGAAATCATGTCAGCAGCTCAAGAACAACATAGTGAATGGTTGGTAGTCCATAGACATTAGTGTTCAGTATAGTAAAGAAGCTTCAGACGTTTGCAGTCAAGAACTAACTTACTCAGGCTAATTACTGTGTTTGCTTTTGGTATAGGGTTTGGTCCTTCTTGACCCTGTATAGTTTCTTTAAATACTGCTCTCAATTAATATTTAAGCAGTGTTTTCCTGTGCTGAATTCCATTTAGAATTCATTTGACTGCTGTGAATGAAAGCAGGAGTTGGGCCTGGGACAAAAGTCCTGCTGCTATAAAAAGCCCATATGAGAACAGTACTGTACCACGAGTAAGAACTGGGAATGCTGAGCTGACTCCCAGCTCTCAGAAGAGAAGAAAGGAAGGAAATAATCACTTTGTGGATAGTTACCAATTCTTTCTTTTCTAATGCTTACAGGTCCTCTTTAATATGCTTTATTTCCCTGATTTCATGCCAATTTATTGTTTTGGGAAAACAGACCTGCCACCCCGGGTTGCTTAGCCTTTAATAAAGAATTCTCTTGTGGTTTGGTAAACTGGGTAACCATTTGGACCAAGTAATGTAGTCTATCCCTTATTTAGTATTTAGACTCCGGTCTGCAGAGCACAGACTTGAAAAGGGTATAATCATAGGGGTTGGTTAAAGAATTTTATTTTGGTGCTTTTTCACTCTGCCACTGTCTCAATAGATAACCATGGGAAAGGGTTTTAATAACTTTGTCTGAGATTTTCCATGTGCAGCGCAGAGAGGAGGTCAGAATGTCACTAGTTCTCTCCTTAGGTAGGGATTTTAGTGAGAATCTAATTTTAGTCAATATCTGCACTAGTATAACAAACTATGAAGTCATATGTGTGGTGTTGGCATAGCTGATATTGGAACAGAATCACAGAATGGTTGAGGTCGGAAGGGCCCCCCGGAGATCATCTAGTCCAACTCCCCTGCTCAACCAGGGTCCTCTAGAGCATATTTCCCAGGATCGTGTCCAGACGGGTTTTGAATGTCTCCAGGGAAGGAGACTCCATAACCTCTCTGGGCAACCCGTTCCAGGGCTCTGTCACCCTCACAGCACAGAAGTTATTGCTTATATTCACATGGACCTTCCTATGTCTCAGTTTGTGTCCGCTGCCTCTTGTCCTATCACTGGGCACCACGGAGAAGAGA